TTTGCCAAAACTCGCCATCCGCTATACTACAAGTTTTCAGTTTTTGATACTTGAAATCAATTATACAAAATGATGGAGAAATTGATGACAATGTTACTCATAGAATATAAGCTCAGTAGTTAAAGTGAAGAAAAACATTAGAAGTTATTTGTGAGCCTAAAGTACCTATCAAGCTAAATGAAAGTCTTACTGTATTACAGTAAGGCCAGCTATCTTATATGTTAGTGAATGTTGAGCCTTAAAGGAATACAAGAAAAAAGTGTAATAGAAATGAGAATGCTAAGGTAGAGAAGTAAAAACATGAAAAAAAGACAAAGATACAAAATTATAGTATATTAGAGAATATTAGAGTAGCATCTATAGTAGAAAAGGTGACTAAAAATCACCCAAGGTGGTTTGGTCGTGTGCAAAAAAGACCTTCGGAGGCGCCAGTAAGGAGAATGGATTGCATGACTCTTAATCTGATAAAGAAAGGTTGTGAGAGACTCAAAAGAACCTTAGATGAAGTTATTAAAAGAGACATTTTGATTAACCAGATTTATGGGAATTTGGTTTTTGACCAAGCTCAATGATGTCATGTGATCCATTTAGCTGACCTCACTTAGTGAGATAAAGCTTGGTTGTTGTTGTTGTTAGAGCATTAGCTTGGTCATAGAAAATGAAAAAAAAAAAAAAAGGTCATAGATCCCTTTTTTTTTTTCTTCTCTATTCTAGGTTCTTATCAAGGTATGTGTAACCAAAATAAAGAAGCATGAAGGACAACCACATACCGTGTATTAGAAAGTTCTTACATTATCTTTTTCTAATAAGCAAAAACTTGAAAAACTAAAAAATGTTGGAAAGTTTACGTATAAAGTTATTTGTATCATTTTAATTCATAAATTCATTATTTATATTTAGTTATCTTTGAGGCTAAAAGCAAGGGAACAGTCTAGTTATTTGCAGCTCTGGCTGATTGATGATGGAAGCAAATAGAGACAGGTAAAGAAAGGGAGCCACTCCAACCAGAGACAATGATGTGCCCACTAAAAAGGGAAAGTTAATTTTTTTTTAAAGAGAAAAGTTTTTTTTCTACCCTTAAAAATCCTAAAAGCTACAAGGAAAAAAGAAGAAGGAAAAGTAGACTTTTTAATAGCATTGTTGCACTGTGTGGGGACAGAACCCAAAACAGTGTAGTAGAAGATGAAAAGATGAATAAAAACAGAGAAGACAATATAACAGAAAATTTAAAAATGTTTGTTTTGTATTGAATTATGTTTTAAATTATGGTTTAAGCTACTTATGTTTTGAGTTAATTCTTCATTTCTTATGACCTATATATAGTATTTTTTTTATATATTTTACTATATCTGTCATAATTTTGCCAAGACCCGCTGTCTGCTATACCACAAGTTTATAGTTTTTGATACTTAAAATCAATTATACAAAATGTATCAATTCTTTCACAGATCTTGGCTGTTCTTAAACTTGAGAAAGGAGACCAAATGCCTTAAGATTATGCGAAATCTTTTAAAGAGGCTGTTGCGATTTTTCGACATGGTCAAATGTACTATTATTAAACTATTCTTTAATTTTAGAATGAGTATTCATTATTTGTTCAGAAATGACTAATTTGCTTGTGAAATTTCTATGTAGATATGATAACAATGCTAAAGAGCTTAAGTACATGAAGCCCTTTAAACAAAATTTTTCTTGAGTCACTTGATAGAAAACTTGATTTCTTGAGACCGTATCCTTCTTCGTAACTACATTTTTGGGACTAATACATTTCCTGAAATCTTCTATTATTTTTAATATTTTTAACTTGTATTGTTTCTTTTCACTGATATTGCTTATTAGACACTACTTTATAAGATACTTGAACTTGTATATATTGTTAGAAATTAAACTTGCTAAAAGACAAATCTAAATTGAACTCTCCTTAAAAAAGACAAATCCAAATTGAACTCTCCTTCATAAAGAAGACAAATTCAAGTTGAACTTTTTATAAAGAAGACAAATTCAAGTTAAACTCTTTGTAAAAAAAATAAAAATTCAAGTTGAATTCTTCATCATTATAAAAGAAGAAAAATCCAAATTGAGTTTGACTTCCTCCAAAACTCTATAAATAAGTAGTGCTATGAAATATGAAATTTCATTATAAAATAATTCATTATTTAACCTTTGTTGTAAATGATTTGTATTTGAGAAAAACTCTAACAAACTTTCTTGTAGTTGTTTGAACATTTGACTATTAATAAAGTCAAAGTTTATTGAGTTTATTTATTCTAATAAAAATATTATTTTCTGAGTATTCATTTTTGTTATAGTGATGATATTTTAACTAGATAATTTATTTTAATTATCAAGATATATGTTTAACTAGGATGTAAGTGTTCTAAATATATATCATGCTGCATAATTTTTTATTTTAGAATATATGATCAATTTTAACGTGTATGCTTATTGAAGAACATGTATCTTTTTTTAGAATTTATTTTAATTATTGCAAAAATTTGACAATGATCAAACAATTTTTTTTAAAAAAGAATAAGTAGATGGAATCATACTTTCTTGAAAAAATTATATAAGTCAGCAAAATATTAATTAATATGAGACTATAGTTGAAGTAAAAAAAAGTTATTGTCATATGATAAAATATCATTTTATTACAAGACTTGTATTAAACATGTAACCTGATTACAATTGAAGAGACACTTTAACTTAACCAAAACCACCATAACATGATTCTTTGAAATAACTAGAAGCATAGAAAAAGATTCTCTGCCTATTATTTATTGCTTCTTTTTGGCAATGAATTGCTTGAACCAATATGCTGACATCTTGGATATCTCTTTGAGTGTTTTGAAATCAACATAAACAATGCCAAACCTTAATGTGTAACCCAACCTCCATTCAAAGATATCAAGCAATGACCATGCAAAGTATCCTACCACATTTGCTCCATCATCGTCTGCCTTTTTTAGTTGAGTCAAATAGCCTTTGTAATAGTTTATTCTTGTGGTGTTATGCAAACCCTTAGGGAGTCACATTACTCGGATCATCCATGCCTATAAGTCATAGTGTTATCTGATAATGTTGCAACAATAATAGAATACTATGTCAACAAACCAAAAAGATAAAGGACAAAACAAGATATGAACATCTAATATGTTACCATTTTCAGATAAGTTCACATTCGAGTTTATGTACATCAATGTATTGTACATGACCCATGGTACGGTGCAAAGCCAATATGAATTAACATGCAAGAAATCAACTTATAAATTAGTGAATATATGATTTTTGTCCACATCTATATAATAAATATCTGTCACTAAGTTTAAACTTACTTTTAGACCAATAAGCACTCCATTATTTGCATCATCAATATTTGAAAAATAATAATAAAAAAAGATGAGTTATGAAAATGCGCACAAAAAAAAAATCATAGTTTAGGAGTGTCAATAGACACTCTCATGTGTCAATTACCACTCTTATTTATTTATTTATTTAATGTAAAATACTCCTATTATTAATATGGTAATAAGAGAGATAAAGGGATATTTTAGACAAAAAATACTTAAATGAGAGTAGTAATAGACACTTAAGAGTGACAAAATTTAAAGGAAGCATTATCTTACAAGCAAATCCTATTAGTCCTATTGGTACTCTGAAACTTGTTTATGGATGGGAATTTTATGATTTAAATGTTATAACAAAAAAAAAAATACATATTTTCTATCTAATTTAAAAATAATATTTGAGAAATGATAATTAACTATTAGTTAAATATTATCAACATTCAAAATACATAATAAGTTAAATCATAAAAGAAACTGACAGAAAAAAGCAAAGAATAGGTGCAATCAATAAAAAGTTTGAAAGGAACACAAATAAAAAGGAGCATGCCCAAGCTGACCTCACAGTCAACATACCTTCTGCTCCTGTCAAGGGCGTGTTGATGAGCACGACCATGCTCCATTATAATATTTTAGAATCCAACAAAAAAGTGACATCCAACATAAGACTTTAGATTATACTCTAAGATTTCGTAACAAATGCAAGTATTTTAGTGACATGGGACAACATTTCTGCAAACTGCTAACTAGAAATCAGAAACAAGAATGGCAAATCTTGAAGAACCCACAAATTATGCTGTCATATACTCTCAAAACTGTCATTTATGACTTGGGCAGGCTAACAACAAGAATAATCAAATTGACAAATTGTATGTTGTCTTTAACATTTAACAAATAAGTAATAGCACTACTCGTCTATTGTCACAATAAAAAATAAAATAAAAGCAAGTTTCACATTTGACTATATTGTTTGAGCCATTTTTCTGATTAATCCCCAACCAATTATTTTGCAGGCAAAGCTATGAGAAAGAGAGACAGTGTTGCTAATTACTAACTCAACTTTGATTTTAATACCCAGAATCCAATCTACAACTTATTTTTTAAGTACTAAGATCACATTGCAAGTGCTTAGTAGTTTCTAGCTATGTTAAGGTTTTCGTTTAAGAACTTGATTTTAAGACATTAGAGTGGGGTATGTTATTTTCCCTAAACGTGACAAAATGTTTGCTTGAGTTACAAAGTGTTCCACTACTCCAGTATTGGCTCTTTTCACTTTCTTGGGGCACACAAGCTCCAATAGAAACTTAAAAAGAGAAAACTTAAAAAGGTTTTCGTGTGAAGAATTGTGTAAAAACTTAAAAAGCAAACAACATCCAATAAAGGAAAAAAAAAAAGAGAGAACTTTACTAAATACCAAGCATGAATGAAGATGAAACACAAACCATATTGATCTTTTTCAATTTTCAACAAGATCCATCAAACTCCAACTCACAATGAACAAAGCAAAAACAACAAAATATATCCGAGAAATTTTTATTTTTTTTTGGTTTATAAACACGCTTGACATTTGAATTTCTCATGATTTTGACCCACAAGCCAGCTATGTTTCTAGAGGAAATATTCCATAACAAGTGTAAATGGAAAGCATTAGTTTTAATCTCACAATAAGCCTCTAGCAACCATTTCATGAAGAAGTTTTTCGGCTGTATCATTCTCATCTCTTTCAAAGAGAGCACGGATAATTATGTCAAAAATTATAAAATCAGGACTGCAACCATTGTCCTCCATTTTTGACCATAAGGACAATGCTTCATCAACCTTGCCCTCTTTACAAAGCGCATTGATCATAGAATTATATGCTGCCACGTTTAGATGATAGCTATTATTCAATAAATCCTGAAAAACCTCTTGTGCATCCTTAAGTCTTCCGCCTTTGCATAATCCATCAATAAGTATTGTGTATGTGTATACATCTGGATGAATGCCCTTGTCTATAACTTTATTGAATAATGCAATTGCATGATCTAAATGATGGTTTTTGAAAAATGCGTCTATTAAGGAATTGTAGGTAATTATATCAGCACGTTGACCCCTATCCTCCATCTCATCAATAAGCTCCCAAGCATAAGAAATTCTTCCTGATTTGCAAAAAGCATCAATAAGAGAACTGTAGGTTACTGTATTTGGAACCATACCTTTCCAATGCATGTCTTCAAAGAGAGCCATGGCTTCATCCACCATTTTAATCTTGCCTAACCCGCTAATCATTATGCTGTAGCTATGCAAATTAAGGGTTACTCTATTTCGAATCATGCTGTTGAATATATATTTGGCCTTCTTTACTTCATTAACTAAGTAATAGCCATGCATTAGACTATTATAAGTAACAACGTTAGGTTTCACACCATCTTTTATCATGATGGCTAACACATTTCTAGCTACCCTCACATTTCCTTCCTTACACAGTGCATCAACCAATATGCTGTAGCTATAAACATTTGGATTGATTCTTTTCAATACCATTTCATTGAACAAACCAACTACTTTTTTCACTTGACCCAAAAGGCAAAAGCCATACATTAGACTACTGTAAGTGACAGTTGGGATAAATTTTCTTGACAACCATTTCTGAAAAAAGATCACATGCCTCCGTCAAAAATTTATCTTTACATAAGCTATCAATGATTGTACTGTAAATTACCACGTTAGACTGAATCAATTGTCCTTCAATCTTTCTAAGCACGTGAATGGCAGCTCTTGTTTCTCCCATTTTACATAATCCATTGATCAGTGTCCCGTAACTAACTTGGTCCATCTGAAATCTTTGAGCTACCATCTTGTCATGAAAATGCAGTGCTCTTCTAACGTTGCCATCAAGACAGAGACCATTCATGAGTGTATTGAAGGTTACCGTATTCGGCTGATAACCCAATCTGAAGATTTTGGCCAATACCGAAAAAGCTAAGGTCATATGACGCAGTTGGCATAAACAATTGATGTGAATGTTAAAAGTACAAATGTTTGGCTCAATTCCCTTGAATCCCAATCCTTGAAAAAGGGAAATGGCAGTGTGGAATTGCTTGTTCTTAACGAGGGACCCCAAAATCTTGTTAAATTGAACGATGGATGGGGAAGGACGGGTATTGAGCATGCGATTGAACGAGGCAACGGCATCATCAACATCAACATTGTGAATGAATCGGGTTTGGAGTGAGGAAGAAGGAAAGCAGAGAAGAAAAGGAGGAAACTTGGGAACAGGGAGACCGAGAGAAGAGCTTAACCTTGAGAATGACATTGGGAATACCAAAGTCTGGAGGGTTCCGAGAAGATGTAGCGTGATTTGGTTGGGAAGTGATTGAATAATATATATATTTAAATAATATAAATATTTATATTAAATTTTTAATATTTTATTTTGTATAAAAGAAAAATTTTAACAATAAAAAATTATAAATTAAAAGATATAATAATATTATTTAAAATAAAATAATTGTACATCTAACGAATAAAATATTAAGATTAAACAAGTGTGTTTACTATTTTTTTTTATAAATTCAAAATTATCTAATAAGTGAATTAAATAATCAATGTAAATTATTTTAATATATTAACTTAAGATTATCAATTACAATTTTTTATATTATTTAATTTAATTTTTAATTTTTATATTTAAAATTAAACTAAATAAACTCATAAATATAAATTTATATTAATTATTTTATTTTATTTTTATATAAACATTATTTTAAAATATATGTATATTTTTTTAAACTGAATTTATTTATCTTTAAGTGTTTATTTAATGAATACTATTAATTAAAAATTTATATATTTGATAAAAGATTCAATTTATACTTTTATTAATGATCGTATTTAATGTTCTAAAATATTATATGCAAATTTTATCAATAAATTTAGATATTATTAATAAAGAATAAGAATAAATTTAGATAGTTGATGATAAAATTTTAAAAAATATATAAAAATTTATTACTTAATATTCATGTTATAATTTAGATATTAATATAATTTTATAAAGAAAATATTTAATTAAATAAAACTTTAAAAGCTTATTGATAACTTAAATTTTATTAATTCTTTTTTTTTCTTGCTTTTTCTTTTATCTTTATACTTTCAAACAAAACTTTAAAAGTTATTTTTTTACAAAAAATTAGGTTTGGAGGCCAACTTCTTTGATTGTACATTCAAATTTTTTTAAAAAATTCTATATGAGTAATTTATTACAACAAATCAGTAAAAAAAAAAAAACTTAAAAAATTCAGTTTAAACTTATTTTTATCAACATGCATAATTCAAATGTGGTAACAATAATTCAACATAAAAATATTATTCAATAATAATCTGATTGAAGGATTTAGAAAATAACTTATAAAATATGGTTATAAAAAAATTATAGAGAAGAAAAAAGATAGGTTACCAAATGACATAAAAATTATCACATAATGAATATTTAACAAAAATATAATAATGTTAATTTTAGGAAAATTATAAAACTTAAGATTTATAAATACTTAAATAAAAATTGTTTAAATTATAAAGACTAAATTATATATTAAAAAATATATATATATAAAGACTAACAGATAAATTTAAATATGTACTAATTGAATTTTATTAGTCTAATTTAAAGATATAAAATGAGTAAATAAAATTTTCTATTAAAAACATGAAAATATTTTAACGATTTTGGACTTTTTCTTTCATGAGGTTTCTTCTTTTCTCTATGTTGTTTGAATTTATGCTTAATTCCTAAAACTAAAAATATTCATAACAATTGGTATCTGCTTGACGATCCATTTGAAGTTCTTGACTATGGCGAATGCTACTTGTAATGGTCAAGCGATTAAGGATATTGAAGAATATCTCTGGATTTGCTTGGATTCTTAGTAAATAGATCCAACAAACATTAACACCATTTATAAAAGAAACGATGCAAGAATTGTTGAAGTATCAACTTGAGTAAGATAATCATAATAAGAAGAATGCAGATTATAACTCACGAGGTAAGCGTCGTAATCCTTATCCTTATGCTTATGAAACTAGGTTAGTTAGGATTGATTTTCCTCGCTTTACTAGGAGAAACGTCAATCAATGGATATATTAATGTGATAATTTCTTCTTGATCAATAATACACCTGAGGAATCTAAGGTAAAATTTGCCATTGTTCATTTGGAAGGTCGTGCTTTGTAATGGCACACAGCTCTTGCAAAATCTTTCGTTACTTCGTGTTTGTTATCTTGGGTGATTACACTAAGTTGTTGATTAAACATTCTGGTGATGTATGTGATGATCTCATGGCAGATTTAATGAGGTTGAGGCAGAAACTTTATGTATGTAATTATCACAAGGAATTTCATTCAATTATCACCATATTGAATCTTTTAGAGAAGTATACTTTAAGTTGCTTTCTTGGAGATTTTAAGAAGGATGTGCAGATGTTGGTTTGCATGTTTTAGCCATTTACAGTTCAAAGAGCTTTTGTCTTAGCTAGAATGTATGAGGCTGCTAACCCTTCATAGGTTCAGCCCAATGTACACGGCAAAGTTCAAAAAAAGGTATTGGGACTTGACCTGCAGGTATCTCCACTACTCTGATGGCATTTGTGACTTCTAAACCGTGGCAATCAAGAAGTTTGACTCCTACTTACATGTTAGAGAGGAGGTCCAAAGGGCTATGCTATTTCTGTGATGAGCCATATTTAGTAAAGCATAACTTAACTCATAAAAAGCACTAAGTGCATGTTCTGGAGGTGGATGAAAAGTAGGAGGAGCCAAGAGAAGAGACTACTGCAACTTTAGGTGTGGACCCAGGAAACTCACACCCCAAATATTTGTAAACGCTTTAACAGGTGTGGCTGGATTTAGAACTATGAAGGTTATAGGGTACTATCAAAATAGACTGTTGAATATCTTGATTGACAGTGGCAATACACAACTTTTTAGATGTGCAAATTGCTAAGTATGGTTGCATAATTAAGGAATTGAGGTCTAATTTGGTTGTAGTAGATGGTTCTAACCTTAAGCTCTTTTCAATAGTCAAGAATTTTTGTTGGACTATCTATCAAATAACCTTTACATCATACATGTTGCTGCTTCCCTTAGGTTGTTATGACTTAGTGTTGGGAATTGAGCGGTTGGTAACATTAGAAGACATCACTTGGAACTTTGATAAGCAAACTATGAAGTTCGAGGTTTTAGTGAAGAAGGTATGTGTTGAGAGGAGCAACATCAAACAGCGTAAAAATTGCAAAGAAGTAAAATTGAACAAGGCTTTGGCTGAGGGAGGTCATCTGTCGATGATGCAGCTATGCACTGGGGATGATAGTTTGTTGTAGTCCTTGACTATTCATGCTGAGCAACTCGCTTTACCAGTAGACGTGGAATAGTTGTTGCAGGAATTTGAGGATGTGTTTCAAGAACCCTCTCAATTACCTCCATTTAGGCTTGGGCATGATCATAAGATTCCCTTAATTCAAGAAGCAAACCCAATGAATAAAAGACCTTACCAGTATGCTGAGAATCAGAAAGATATTATTGACAAGCTTGTATAGAAATATTTGAAGTTTGGGGTTATTCAAGACAACAGTAGTCCCTATGCAAGTCTAGTGGTGTTAGTGGGAAAGAAAGATAGATCTTAGAGGTTGTGTGTGGATTACAGGGACTTGAACAAGGGTACTATGAAGAACAAGTTTCCAATTCCTTTGGTAGATAACTTGTTAGATGAGCTGAATGGGTCTACAGTCTTCTCCAAAATTGATCTGAGGGCTGGTTAAAATTAGGTGCGGATGGATCCTGCAGATGTGTGTAAGACAGCATTCAAAATGCATGGAGAGCACTATGAGTACGTGGTGATGTCCTTTGGCCTCACAAATGCCTTTGCTACTTTCCAGGGTCTCATGAATACAATGTTTTAGCAATTTTTGAGAAAATTCCTACTCGTTTTCTTTGATGACATTGTCATCTATAGTGGGAATTTGATAGATCATTTAGAGCATTTAAGGAAAACTTCAGTGCTAATTCAATCAAGTTCTGAACCTTCAAGCATTTGGATTGAATGACAATCAGTTTCATGATGTGTTAATCAAAAGTTAATTCCTTAACTCAATGAATCTAACATTCAATTCAATCAATCTAATTCCTTAGATTTGGTTCAATTAAATGTTGCATTAAGTATTAGAAACCAAAAGATTGCAAGATGAAGATAACTTATCCCTAAGAAATCAATAATCTTGGTAATTGATTCAGATCTGAGAAACAATTTCAACTTCCATTGATTAGAGCTTTTTTGTGATTAGTTAATCAAATTTCTATTTCATAACTACTTGAAAAGCAGAATCAATTACTTAATCAAATCCAGCACTCAAAGTTCAGATCCAAAATCAATTCAACACTTCTATTTTGGATCCATAAATCCCTAACTACAAAGAGTTTAGAACTCCATTACAAAATGAAAAGAGATAGAAAGAGAAGAAGGAGATAAGCAGAGACTCATCTTCAATCCAATCTTCAATCTGATTCCTCAAGATGTAAAGCTTGGTGTTTGTCCCCAATCTCTCTCTCAGACTCTCTCAAGACAAGAAAATGAAATGAAAATGAAAAATGAACAAAAGATACAAAGTTCTGAGCTAATCTTCAATTTATAGATTTTTCTGCCTTTCATGCATAATCACTATTTTTCACTAAAGTAACCATGCAGAGGCTTATCTGCTAATCTTCTTCACTGGAACAATCAATATTTTTCATAAAAGTAGCAACGCAGAGCTTGTTTTGCCTTTTGGTCATGCGCGCGTTCACTTTTGTTCACAATAAGAGTCACGCGCAGCTTGTTCTGTTAAAATGCTCTCTAGAACATTCACTATTTCTTGCAGAAGTGTTAATGCGCAGCTAGCTTTGCTTCTAGGTCATGCGCGTGGTCACTTTATTTTATGAAAGGAGTAACACGTAGCTAGTTTCCTCTATTCAGACTTGCGTGTGTTCACTTTTGTACAAAATAGTGATCACGTACAAGTTGTTCTTCTCACCTAGTCTCTAGAACAATCACTATTGTCATAATGCAGGATACTTCATCATAGGCGTTGTTACTTTTCTTTATAAAACTGATAACGCACATATCAATCCTTGAAATTAGGCTCTGGAGTGATTATTTTACTTCTGAGCTTGTGAACTCCAATATCAACGCATTCAAAATGGTATCCAAAAGATTATGCAGTATACTTCAATAAAATAATGTCAATTACATACTGACTTAAGAAAAAAAATAATATAAGCTATGTTAGGGCCAAA